TGTGGAGCCTCCTAGGAGATATGTGAGACTTGATGTTTTGCTTCATTGTGTTTTTATGATAATTTATGCAAATTCCCATAGCGGTAGCAGGCAAGGCTGGTGCGGGTTTTTAAAGATCGTTTGACGTGCAGCATGGTATTTTTTTTTACCATTTTATTCAGAACTGGTTGCTCAATGAAATGAGAGAGATTGTCCGCAATATTTTATACTATTACCATGATTTCGTCGGTAATGCCTTTTCCAGTGCTGTGAATTTGCAGCCTAATACAAATGAGAGGCTTCCTGGCTGGCATGCCCTTCGTCACTGGCCTCGAAGTCTCCCGACATGCTTCAAATTGCTACAGTCTGAATCTTACTCCGCCATGCTCCGACACTGCCTAATCACAGAGCACAGTGAGATGTCGGGGCCCGTAGTAATTCGCACATGACCAGTGAACATCCTCGTGAAATTTCAGCTTCGTATTTTGTCTGGTTCCGAAATCGTTTTCTCGCCAAAACTTTTTCTCACATTCTTTCAGGCATTCAAATCATAACTTTTTCTCATTCAGGTATATGTTTGTAGAGGCGCAGATGAACTGGGAACATCTTCCTACAATTTTGTTGGTCATATATCCAAAACCAAGCATACGGACCTAACGGGATATGGTCCACAAGGAATAAATTTCGTTCCTAAAATGTTCTTATTGGACAATTGAGCATTGCCTTTATTTTAACGTTCTTTAAGCTTGACCATTTCATTATCACTGTCTTGAACTTCACACTGCATATTCAGAAATTCATTCCAAAACAGTGGGAACTTCTTAGCAGTTGTAGTAGTTCGAACAATTTTGCTCATTCCAGAAAATTTTCTAATGATAAAATGGCATCGGCGGCGAGCGATAACAAATACAAAATCGATCGATGAGAAGGAAGTAGCGACGGTGCATTTGACGTTTTATCCGAAGGCAATGTCGAATACATACCGCGGGAAACTGATGCTTTTTTTTCTCCGAAGACTGCAGATTCCATCCGCATGGTTAAAATTCTTTTTGTGCAAAAACTAACGCTTTTTGAGAAGAAATTGCTCAAAACCAAAATTTCCTGGAAAAACGTTTTGCTAGCAGCGGGGCTATATTTACGTGTTGTAGGCGAGTGCCTGCATGCAAGGAAAATGGTTGTGATGGTTCGTACTGCTCACGTGAGGAACATTGCCATCGCGTTCAAGTTATCGTCGTAACACGATCATCCACATAATGATACAATTGCCAGCTTCTGCCCCACTTGATTTTCGAATGAAAAAAGCAAAATCGTGAACTTCCTAGGAAAATCG